GAAAGCTCCAGAAGAACAAGGGGCTGGTCCAGTGAGATAATTAGACATCAGGATTAGGAACAGAGATATGTGGCATCTTTTATGTCAACTTGACTGGGCTAGGAGAGGCCCAGATGGCTGGTAAAACATTTGTTTCTGGGCCTGTGAGGACATTTCTGGAAGAAAATTTGAATTAGTAGACTGCACAGATCTGCCTTCACCAAGGTGGGCATCATTCAAGTTGTTGAGGGCCCTGATAGAACAAAAAAGTGAGGGCTGGGCAGATTCTCTCTCTTTGAGCAGGGACCTCCATCTTTGCTTGCCCTTGATGTCAGAGGGGGTTGGGGTTCTTAGGTTTTTGTACTCCGGGACTTACACCAGCACTTTCCCGGCCCCCCACTGAGAGAACGAGGTTTATGGGTTTTACCACCTTTTCGTGAATGTATCCAAAGATAAGTAAGCTCAGTACAGCTATGGATTAGTACTCTGGGTCCCTGATCCCCCATAATGAATAGAGAACTGTGTCTCCAGATCTGTCCAGAAGGTATGCTTCTAGACCCCATTTGCTCTCCTAATTCCAGCCTTTGGAATTGGCTGGATTACACAACCAGCTCTCCTGGTTCTCCAGCTTGCAGATGGCAGAATGTGGGACTTCTCAGTCTCTCTAATCATGTGAGCCAATTCCCATAGTAAATCTCTCTCATTCTTTCTTGTCTCTTTGCCTCTGTCTCTATGCACACACACATGTATACGTATACAGATGAGCATCAACTTATGATGGGTTTATTGGGATGTAACCCCACTATAAGTTGAGCATACTGAATGTCTTTTGCTTCTGAACCATTGTAAAGCTGAAAAATTATAAGGCAAACCACTGTGGGTCAGGCACCGTTTATGTAATTCTAGGGTGTGCAAAGATTCCCTCTATCCACTGACTCACAGCAAGGTAAGGACAAAAAATTGAGAACATTTATTGTGCCAGATATCTATCTATCTAGATCTAGATATATAATACATCTATTAGTTCTGTTTCTCTGGAAAACCCTGACTCATATACCCTTTGGGTGAACAACACATGCTTGTTGCTTCTGTCTTTAGGACAAATATGTACTGACCGAGGACTTGTTAGCGGCAAAACACCACCGTTTCTCCCTTGAGCCTCTAAATCTGGCTCCAATTCCCAGCACTCTGCTCAACTAGTTCTCTTTGATGTCAGTAATTTCATTCTTCATTAAAACTCCCTTGCTCTTTCTGTTCTCCCCATCATGGTCAGCCTCTGTGTGTACCAGTTGGGATAGCCAACGCTATGCATCAGTAACAAACAACCTCAAAAGCTCAATGGCTTTAAATAACAAAGATTTATTTATTGCTTGCATAATGTGTCCATTGCTGGTCAGTTGGGGCTCTGTATCTTCCTCCTTCTGGGATCCACACTGATAAGTGGTCACTACCTAGACATTACTGGCCAATGTGGCAGAGGGGGGGACTGAACCCTGGAGGGCACTCCACACAGGTAATTGGATGCTTTGGTTGGGAAGTGACACCCTTCTACTCACTTCTAGCCACCTAATCACATGCTACCACCAAAACACAGAGAAGCCTGGAAATGTAATCCTACTATATTCCTGAAAGGTAGACAGCAGGAAATATTGAGAATCTGATAAAAACCTCAGACCCTGTTTTATATAATTCACTCATACGCTATTAACCCAAATCATCCATGCCACATACACGCAATTCCAGGGAGTACAAAGATTCCACGTGTCCGCTGACTTCCAATAAGGTAAGGACATCTAATATGCCGGGCCTCCCGCTAGACTGGTTTTCCTTCCTGAATAGGTTTCATGACTGTGCTCTTCTGACCTTCCTCATAATCCTGAGTTTGCTTTTGCTTCACTTTCTTTGCTTGTTTTTTTTTTTTTTTAAACTGTGGAAGTTGCCAAAATACATCCATCCCTTCATCTCAGACTCCCCATTGATTCCCTAGTTTCACATTTTCTTCAAGATGGTACTCCAATTCCACCTCCTATGTTAAATTATATTTGGCCAACAGTCGTCTGCATTCTTCCCCTTTCTGAATTCCTCCAGCATTTATGCTGAACCACATGATGAGCTTTCAGTGGTGCGCTGCCTTACAATATTCCATAGTGGATTCACGTATGTTGCCCTGTTCTTCCCATGAGATGCTCATGTCCTTTAAGGCAGGGCCTTGCCTTCTATGCCTGTGCTTAGCAGTCTAGCAGGGTCACTCACCAGCCGGGGCTCTGGGAGAGATTCTGCAAGAGACTTGGGTACTCATTCTGGCTCTGACGTTAACTCTAGGTGTCCCCACTCTCTTCTCTTGGTCCTTTTGCCTTTTTGAAAAGTGAGATGGTTGAGACAAAAGTTCTCTAAAGCTCCATCCAACTCTCAGGATCCACAACAGGGCGAGCTATTGAGAAATTAACTGTCAACCCCACCCCAAATTAGGACAAAAGAAATATCCCCTCTCCCTGCCACATTATAGAAACATGGCCCCGGGGACTGCTCTTGAGCCCAGGCTCCCTTTACCCCAGGGATCTTGTTAACAAACTTCCTGTTCCTGGGCAGAAGGAAAAGAGGGGGGAGGAGAGGGGAGAACTTACCTTCACTTAGAAAACTCCCTCCAGCAGGCTCTTGCTTTGAAAGGTCTAGGCAAGCCTAGGCCAAGGGAAGGGAGCTTTGATCTCCCCCTGAGGCAGAAAGGAAAAGAGACTGGCTTTTTTTGGAGGAAAGAGGAGAAGAACTGTCAACCTGGAGCTTTGGGTTCCCCAAAGCTGAGAAAAGAGACAGGGGCTGAAGTCCCTGTGGAAGCTCTGCCTCATCTGGCTCCCAGTGCTCACTGGTAGCTGGCCTTTGGGTGGGATGACTGTAGGGACATTTGTGGAGGCTGAACACAGAGGCCTGGAGGTCCCTGGGACAAAAACTGGGGACCCTGGAGAGAATCTCTGCATATGAAATGTCCAGAGGCCTTGCTGTGTCACAGGAGCAGGGAACAAAACGCTCGCGACACAATGATGGTACATTGTCTTCACCCCATTTTCCTGGCTGGCTTCAGCTGTGGGGTGGATGTTGGTACAACCCGAGGGGAGGGGAAGCTTCCCCCACCCTCCACTCCCACCACCCCATGAGGAAACCACGAAGAATCAGTGACATTGGGCTTCTGCTGAGAATGGTAAGTGGGAGCTCAGAGCTAGATTTGATTTAGAAAAATTAAAAGAATGTGACACTTTTCTCACCTCAATTTCACAAAGCAATTTGTGAACTTATTAGAAATCCATGATCTGACATTCCCCTGCATAGGTGGAAAGAGGAACAGTGAACTCAGACTCCAGCCAGAGGCCATTAAGTCTGTGAAACCCTGGTCCCTAAAGGGCACTGAAGCCTTCAGAGTTAATGAGATGCACATAATGCATTGCCAGGCAATGAGATTCAAAACCCTCACAGCTAAAATGGAAGTAGCTCGAGGAACTAGACACCTGGGGGCAGCTGTCCCGTGCTGCGGAGGGGCCGAGGCAGTGCTATAACACCAGGACATCTGATTCAGTGGGGCCTCGAGCATCCACACACAGCAAGCAGCTGTCTTGGGTCCCACCTGCCATAGCTGAGGCCTTACTAATAACCAGCCCGGTCAGGGGAGGGGGCTGCACCCTTATGCCACTTCTTGATATTGGGCCAAAATCTCCTTAAGAAATGGGTAAGGTGACATTATTATTATGTACATGCGACGTTTATTACATGCTAGGCAGAGAACCATTTCTGTTGGATAGGTGCTACTAGTATTATTATCCTATTTTACAGATGAGGAAACTGAGGCTTAGAGCATTTAATAACTTGTATTTAGGTTGGTGCAAAAGTAATTGCAGTTTCAGATGGTGAATTTTAAATCATTATCACTAGACTCAAACACATCTTTATTAATCAAAATAGGAGCCATTGCAATCAACACATTTTTGCCAATGAGCAGTAAGTTTTATTCCTGTAGCATAAAAATACATGCTTTGGGATTCCACAAACTCTTGGAAAGCATTTTCTGCATCCTGCTGGCTGTGGAAGTGTTTTCCCTGCAAAAAGTTGAGATGCTTGAAGCAGTCGGTTGGTGAGAGGTCAAGTGAATATGGCGGATGAGGCAAAACTTCATAGTCCAGTTCGTTCAACTTTTGAAGTGTTGGTTGTGCAACGTGTGGTCGGGCATTGTCGTGGAGGTTGGGTCCTTTCTGTTGACCGATGCTGGCTGCAGATGTTGTAGCTTTCAGTGCATCTCGTCAATTTGCTGAGCATACTTCTCAAGGATTCAGAAAGCTGTAGTGGATCAGACCGGCAATAGACCACCAAACAGGGACCATGAACTTTTTTGGGTGCAAGTTTGGCTTTGGGAAGTGCTTTGGAGCTGCTTCTCAGTCCAACCACTGAGCTGGTCACTGCAGAAAATCCACCTTTCATTGCACGTTGACAATCCAGTCGAGAAATGGTTTGCTCTTATGCGTACAAGAGAAGACAACACTTCAAAATCACGATTTATTTGACTTTTGGTCAGTTTGTGAGGCACCCACTTATGAAGCTCTTTCACCTTTTCAATTTGCTTCAAGTGCTAAACGACCGTAGAATGGTCAACCTTGAGTTCTTCGGCAACTCACAATGTAGTTGTGAGAGGATCGGCTTTGATGATTGCTCTCAATTGTTTGGTGTCGCCAACAACAGGCCACTGTTCTCCTCATCTTCAAGGCTCTCATCTCCTTTGTAAAACTGCTTGAACCACCTCTGCACAGTATGTTCGTTAGTAGTTCCTGGGCCAAATGTGTTGTTGATGTTTCAAGTTGTCTCTGCTGCTTTACAACCCATTTTGAACTAGAGTAAGAAAATTGCTTGAATTTGTTTTTTGTCTAACATCATTTCCATAGTCTAAAATAAATATAAAATAGCAAGTAATAAGTCATTAGCAAAAAAACATAAAGCAAGAAATGTGCATTAAAATGATATATACCATAACCACATTTAAGAATGTATTCCAATATCAAAGGGCAGATTTCAACAATGCTAAAACTGCAATTACTTTCACACCAACCTAATACAACATCAGATCACTTATAAAAGGTGACGGGGTTCAGGACATGCTATACCTAAATCTGGCACCTTGGCCTATTGACTATTTTAACCTGAAAACATTGGAGAAACAGCATGTTCAAGAAGGTCCCTCTGACAACCCCACCTTCCAATAAAGGTCATAAAACCTAGGAAGCCTTTTCTAACCCTCCCCTGAAACAGGTCATGGGTTTCTTGGGAGGGGTGCCCTCTCTCTGTCTAGATACGAACAAACAGGCCTTCCCCCAGTTAACGCATACTCTTTGTCCCTGTCATTTCTCCCTGACTCTCCATTCTTCATCAAACCTACTACAAAAACAGTCAGATTTACTTCTATCTTTGGGTTTTCATTTCTTCATATGAAACTTACATTAAATAAACTTGTATGCTTTCCTTTTAATATGTCTTTTGTCACAGGGTCCCCAGTCAATGAACCTAAGATGGATAGAAGGAATAGCTACTTTTCCATCCCAACAAAGGCTAGTGACATTTTAAGGCAAGATACACAGATTCTAGAACCTGAGCATGTAGCCCCCAGCCTGCCATCCTTTGGCCCAGGTAGGGTCATCTTCAGCCCCCAGTTGGCTGGGCTCAGCCCTGGGTCAAAGGCTTGTGTTTTCACAATACCTGTAGATGCACTGGCCACGTGGGTGGGCTCAGGCCATGGGCGGGCTGAGGAGTGTGGGAAGTGGCAGCCCCAAATTTAGCCCAGAAAGGGCTCCTACTAGGACCACAGAGGACAGAGCAGATGGAAGAGTCAAACTGCCAGAGACTACTACTTGGTGCTTAAGTATATTATATGAGGGCCCCTGTCTTTGCCTCACTAAACAAGGAGCTTTGACTTAAAATAGAGAAAAGAGGGGTTTTGAGCATGAACTTGGTGTTGGGCAGAGCTGGGTCACTTACTGGATCGGGGACAAAGTTCTTGATCTGAGCCTTAGTTTCCTCTGTAAAGGGGGGTAATGGTATCTATCTCTTAGAATTATTGTGAGGATTAAATGACATAACATGGCAGAGCGCTTAGCACAACATCTGACCCACATTAAGTGTTCAGTAAGTGGTGTCTACAATAATAGCAATGGTAAAATAAAAACAATCACAAGAAACAGCTACTAATGATTTCCTGGTCTCTAACAGTAAATAAATTCTTGGGAAAGGCAACTTGGTCCCGTAGGTAATTCAATAAGTTTGGGAAGAGGAGATTGCCAGTTTTTCTGTTTGGAGTCAGGTTCCTGCTAGAGTACTTTTTGCAAGGTTAGCAAGAATCTGAGGTCACCTTTCTAAATGAGATCGAGTAGCATGGGAACTCCACTCACCTGAAAGTACCTAACTGTAATATTTTTTCCAGGTGTGTGTACACACACATAAGCAGTATACACTTTTAAAGTGTGCATGTGGCTTTTACAGGTCATTGCATTCTTGGGTTCCCAGGGACTCCCGCTCCAAGTGTGTGAATGTCCTGGCAATATTTTTAATTACAGACATGTCTTTGGCCCCCTGCGTGTTAAAATAACCCCTCAAATCATGTACTTTTCATCACGCTCACACCTAGCTCCATTAGCAGAAATTCTTTCCTGGTGTTTGCATCTTAGTTCACTTTTAAAGAAATTTCCAGCTCAGTTCCAATGGCTTTTGCATCTCATTACACTCTTGATAATTAGCTCTATCTCATTACCCCCTAGCCCAGTCGGAATAGGATTAGTTGTTTCCAGGTGTAAATCTGTAGTGTGCATCTTGCTACACCTCTTCAAAATTCCAGGCAGGCCTTCTGTCTCAGCCGAATTAGGACAACTACTTCCAGCTGCGCACGCTTCATTACAACTTCCATTTCAGGAAAAATACTCCACTGTATTTCACATCTGGTCACACGCTTATTAATTATGTGCTTCTTATAACAACTGTGCCTAATTAGGACAGAGCGGAGACCTTGCCGAGCCTAGTGATTCGTTCTGTTTTCTTGTTCTTGATACCTTGTTACCCTCCCTCCAAATTATGCCCAATTTGTTTTACATTCCTGCCACATTAACACAATTGCTCTCAGGTGTATATTGCAGCATCCACTTTGCTTTTCAAGGAAAGTTTTGTTGAACAGGGCACTTCTTGTTTTCACATCCTGCTTAGAAGGACAGTCACTTTGCTGGTCTTCTGGTCACATTTACCCCGAATGGAGTGAATCTAGCTTAGGCTGCTGAGCTCTGGGATGGCCTCTGGTCTCCTTTGTTCTTTACTGTAAAATCTCTGTGCTGTCATCTGGCAGGGGGTAGCCATAGCTGTGCATCAGAGCAGGAATCCTGAATGCAGGGGCTTTGGTCCATTTACAGAGCCTGTGAGGTGAAAGCCATTAGTTCCACCAAGAAACGGTAAAGGGTCATCCATGTAACAAAAAACTTATACCTTCTAAATGTATTGAAACTTAAAAAATGCAGAAGTTCATGCTGAAGATTTGTTCTCTATCCAATGAGAGATGCCTTCTTAAATGAAAGGGCAGTTTTGGAGAATTGAGGAGGAAATATAGACTCTGGGGACAGCAAGATCAGAGAGGAAGTGGCAAGAAGCCAGTGGAAGTATAAGCTCCGTGTCACCTGAGCAGTACTAGGCAAGTCAATCTTTTTGATCGACTGAATGAATGCATTAGTGCTAAGAAATTCGTACCTATGACTCAGCAGTAAGAATCATCAGGGTTTGGTTGCCAATTCAACTTGTCTGTGTTGGAGGTTTTCTTCCCAGACTGATTGAAACATAAACAATGGCTGCCAGGCTGGGTAAACATGCGGGCAAGAACTAAGCCCTAGAGAGGGATGGGGCCTCTGTCAATGAGATCACCCTGCGGAGGGCGGGAATTCCACTTGGAAGGTCTCACCATGTGTTCCATGTGACTGCCTGTCTCGGAGTATGGGGCTGCAGGAGCTCAGGCCTGGTCCTGCCACCAAATTTGAGCCAATTTGGACTGTCAGAGCCTGGGAGCAGGGCTTGTCCTCTTCTGGCAAAGGAAGCATGAGGAACCAATACTTGTCTAATCATTAGGGATGTGATCAGCAGTGAGGGGGCAAAAGTTCTAGTTGGGCAGCAAGATTTAAAAACTCCATTGTGAGGTAGAAATAAAAACATTGTACTAGGATGAAAGTCAATGAAAGAAACTGTATTGATGGAACAGGTAGAAACAAGTGCTAATGGGGTAAAGGGCACAATATAACCCAAAGAGTAGTTTTGTTTACAAAAGATATCCTGACAGGCAATAATAAGGTAGCTAAAAATAACATAACTAGAAGAAATTACTACTAGCAGTTCCGAGGCCATACTCTGCCAGTGTATATCAACAGTTGGATCCCATCTGTTGAATGAGTGTCTCTTTTCAAGGAATTTATTCTAAGGGTAGCTAAGTTGGGAGAGATGCTTGTAGAAATTTCTGAAGCTTCAGGTTCTCCGATACCTTGAGTATGGAAGAAAGGAAAGTAATATTTGTGACGTGCGGTGTTGTGAGGACAAAACGGGAAATCGTGTTAAGTACCACAGAGCAGATGACAGACGAGAGAAGCAGGAGCTCTCTGGGAGCTGCCACTGCCCAAGGAGCTGTCTGATGACTGGGTTGCACGATATCACCCCAGAGCCCTCCACATTCACGGTCATGTTCATTTTTCCATCTCGGGATCCTTCCTGGTCTTGCGAGCCTTCTCCAAGGTGCTGTGACTGGAGCTGTACACAGTAACCCACCCGTGTCCATCCCATTGCCCGTCTGTGTAAGAATGAGACAATGGTCTGCTTTGTTTGCAGTGCCCCTCTGGTGAGGGCTGCCTTCTTGGCCTTTTCAGCTGCAGCAGCCCATTTAGGGAGTGGTCTTCGTGCTAGAACACTCTCTCGTGGTGATGCATTGGTATGTGTGCAGGCTGGGCCCTGTCCTGGGCAGACCCTGGCTCTCTCTGGCACTTTCTAGTCATGGCTATAAACAGGGCACAAAAAAGATCTCACAAAATATCCCCTAAGTAGGACCATAACATGGAAATGAAGGTTTTGAGGTGGCCATGCCACTGCCGTCTGCACCCATTTGACCATTCACTGAATGTGTTGTTGGCTATTCTTAACTTGCTTGGAGGATACAGATGGATGTACCAAAGAAATTTGTGCCTTGAGTGTCTTCGATATAGGACCCTAGAGCCCTTTTCTGTGCAGAATTGACATTCTTCAATCTCGTCATTATTGTAAGCAAAGCAGGGATTCCACTTTCCTAAATGCTGCCCCTGAAGCAGCTCATCTGGCACTTTTCTGCTGGTTCTCAGTGTTCTTGACAATTCTACTCAATCCAAACCCATGTCCCTTTCCACATCCAACAGAACTAGCCTACACACTCCCCAGTCCCCCTGTCCCCCCATCTCTCTGGCATCACTGTCCCCACTCATGGTTCTCCACCTGGAGTGGACAGGAAGGGAAAAAAGGCACAGGATCTATGCTGGGGGGTCCTGGCAATGAAGAGGAGGCTTTCAAACAAAAGTGGCCAAGTCTAATCTCCCCTTATCTCCCTCCTTCCACCCCCACTTTTGGGGTAGACTATTGCCTATGATCTTGTTTAGGGAAAGTATATTTTCTCCAGGGTGTTGCCTACAAAGATTTGATTTCTTCCCAGTCAGATTTACAATATTCCTGCCCACCAGAAGCCCCAGGAAGGCCATCCTCCAGATGCCTGCTAAATCCCCTGAGCTGACCCCATTTCTGACCCGGTCCTGAGCGTCCATCTGTTCCCATACTCTTAGACAATGAGGGTGACCTCTTCGTCTACACATCCACCCCATTCAGAGCAGCATTTGGGACATACTAGGCCCTTGGGGAAAGAATACCAGAAAGTAACATGTGACAATTTAAGCTTCTCAAAACATTTTTTTAATTTTCTGTTTTTCCCACTGAGATCAAAGTTGTACAAACGGGTATAAAATTCCCTACCATTGGGACTTGAGGCATCACTGTGTGCAAAGTCCTTCCTGCTCACCTTCTTGTGTATTTTTGAACTGTGTCTTGGTGCTGCCTTCTATGACACATGAACCATGGGCAGTAAGGGGACTTGGGGACCTGGGGACAATGGTAAGGTCTGGTATGTCAGAAACACCCTGGGGGAGCAAGTCATAGACAGGCCCCACTGGTGGTCGCCCAGAGGAAGAATGTCACGCTGCCTCATCTTCCTTGCACTCAGCTGAGCAAACCTGGCTTACTTTCTAAGGTGAGAAAAAACTAGGGGGCTCATAAGGAGAATAAGTGAGCACCTAGAACTCATTCCCCTCAAACAATGTTTCAGATGAGATGAAAAGTTCTCTAACCATTATTTTGCTTGGAAATTTAGAGGGAGACATCAAGCAGAGAGTTGACTCACCTTTCATTCTTCCATTTTTGTCACTAATTTTATGGGTCTTGGTTTGGATTCAGCAGACACAAAAAAGCAGTAAACCAACCCATAATGTATATGCAACCTACAGCATACACAACTCTCCCAGGGATTGGGATAATATGATTTTTTTTTTCCCTTTGGCCTTGGGGGGTTCTTGTTTTGTTTGGGGAATTTTTTTGAAACCATTGGCCGGTTGGGAACCCTTTTTTTTGTTTTTTGGCATTGGGGCCGGAAGGCATTGCCCTTCCCTTTTTTTCTTTGATTTGAAACTTGCAAGGTCAAGACATCACAAATCCTACTGTTTATGTAACAGAACCCTACCCAGTGGTTTTAGGAAGGGACTTAAAACTTAGGAAGCGGTCCACAACCCAAGGCTGGAATTTTATATATGTTGGGCAACAAATAAAACATTAGTTAGTAATTCATCCATTCATTTTTCACAGTCCAACAATTTGACACCCGATCCCTCCCTGTCCCACCCCAGTCCCTTTAGACTTGACAGCATAGCATTAAAGCATTAATAATTGTTCAATCAAAACATTCTGTACGGCAGACTTCCTTCCGAGTTTATATGAAAAGCCAAAACTAAAGAGAAAAGGCTTACACCTTCTCTCCACTCGAGCATCAGTGTAGAGAAAACTAAGCTCTGACTACAACAAATACCATAATGTATGACCAAGGAAAAAGGACCTCCACCCCTAACCACAGCGCACCCAATTAAACGGTGGTTATCTTCTTGTCCTTGGTGGCTTGCTTGATGGCAGCCTGCTCGCAGATGATCTCCTTGAGCCGCTGCAGCCGCATGTTCTGGGTGGTCTGGTCTCCCGTCCCAGGCTGGCTGCGGTGCAGCAGGGTCAGGGCGTGGATGTACTCCAGCTCTGTGTACTTCACTCCCTGGTCCACCACCAGGTTCAAGAGCTCATCAGCCGTGTTGTACAGCATCTCGTAGTACTGCCTGATGGAGCAAGACAGAACACTGCTCACTGGCTCCCTTGTCAGCAACATCATTTTAGTGGGCACAAATATGCTGTCTATACCTGGATTTCTTATATTTATTGATCCACCAATGTTCTAAGACCCTACAAACAGAATGAAGAACATAGCAGATGTGACTCTGTCCTGTAGGAGCTCACTTTCATGAGATGTCTAAATGAAGAGCCAGGGAGACCTCACACCTTCCAGCTCATTCTGTATTTTCTCCTACTTTTGCATCTACCTTGGAAGATCCAAGGAAAGAGAAGTAGTCGTGCAGAACCAAGAAGGAGAGAAGTAAGCATCTGACAGGGTTTTGTCTCATTCATTTATTCATTGGAGGCTCTGTGAAATATCGTAGGTGAATTTCTCCTCTACAGAGTGGGATGGATGATAATAGTACCTACCTCTTAGGGTTAGTGGAAGAATTAATACATACAAAGCACTAAGAATGGTGATGCTTCATAAAGATTAACTTATTAGAAATAATATAAAGTAACAGTAGTATATAATGATGTGCAAGACATAACCCTTTCCTTAAGTGGCTCAGAAACAAGTAGGGAGGGTCATAAAAAGCAGAGACACAAGGATGCTGGTGCTGTTGACAAGTTTGTTTCTGTGCACTGTACCACTTAACCCTCACTCCCCCCAGGGAGCTAGATCCGCACCCCCATCTTTTTCCAGAAAAGTGAAACTGAAGCATGAAGAAGTTGGAAGACTTGCCCATGTCACAAAGACAGTGAGTGACTGTGCCAATATGTGAACCCAGGTTTCTGATTCCAAGTCTAATATTGTTTCTTCAGACAAATCGCAAGAATGTTCTGTGTGCCATGAGTGAGGTATAAGCGCTGTGACTTTACAGCAGAAGAAGGAGCTATCACACCATACTGGGGGGAGGGTGTGAGACCAAGCAGGACTTCCCATGGGGTAGCATCTTGTCAGGCAAGGCTTCCAGGAAGGAAATTCTAGCTGGAGAGAAGAGCATAAGCAAAGACAGGGAAGTGGCCTGGTTAGACTGGAGAGTGAGTACAGAGGAATAGTGGAGAATACTTGGAAAAGGCAGTTGAAGCCAGAAGGTAGAGCATTTGGACATCAGGCTATGCCTTTAGGCCTAGTTAAGCCGATAGAGAACTTCCTTCCCTCAACCCCAAGATCTGTTGAGAGCAGAGACACCATTCAAAGTTAGGCTTCTGGAAGATTAAGGTGACAGCAGAAGGTAGGATGGTCTGAGAGGAGACTGGTTACAATTCTAGCAAAAAGGAGACTTGAGAGCCATTAGGTGCAAGGCCGTTGGCCTGGATGGGAAGGAGAAGAGTAGTGTCTGTAGTAGAAATGCGCACTGGATAGAGTCTTCAAGGCAGTGAGAAGATGGAGGTGTGGGAGTCAGGAAGGGGAGGAGATTGCCACTCACCATTCTTAAAACCAACATTATGCCACTGCTATCCCTCAAAGAGTCCACTGGGTTCTAAGGCTATGACTTGCATGGCCACTCCAAATCACCCAGGAGGTCAAGTTTAGCACAGGCTCTGAGCCAGCAATGCTACCGCAGCTTGTTAGCAAAAGGACTGAAAAGTTGGAACTGATCTTGGTTACCTCCCCCTTTCTTCCTGACATGAAAGTTCACTTTGCAGGGATTGAGCGTTCAGAACCAGGTCCCGGGCTCAAGGCAACTCTTGGGGGTGAGGGGTCTTACAGATCTAGCAGAGAATCACTGGCTCGGGAATCCTATATTATTGGACTAAAGGCCTTGGATTTGTGTCTTCCTCATCAGGAACATCTTGAAAAACTATGGGAAAACTAAGCTGTCCTTGTAAGGAAAACATTCTAGAAGAGTCATAATTTCAAGAATATTTTATTAACTGCTGCTACAATGGGAATGAAGTCAGGAAGAGTTCTGGTGTTTTTTCACATGGTTAGTTCCTTTTTCTGCTGTTAAAAACCTCCTTTTCTAGTTAACATTTCTCCTATTTTGTTTAAAGAATAAGACTCTTCTATTGAATATTCCCTAAATGGTGGCATCTTTTAGATTAGCAAGTTTGAGTGTCTCCTGGGAGTAAATTGTTCAGCATCCTTGTGTACAGAGTCCTCTTGGGGCTAATTTTCTGTAGTAGTTTCTGTAGAGGTTTCATATTTAGGAATCACTGGTCAAGGGTAACTTTGAATGTAGACAGAAGTACTTCTTCTGACAGATGAGGAGAATGAACTCTAACTTCCAGGGACCTGAGACCTCCATATTGGCCACAATCAGGAAATTTTCTAAAGTTTCATATTTAGCATAAAATCCATGTGAATTCTGCATCCTACTCCTCAATCTATCTGTTGTAACTTAAAACTACTATTTCTAAGAAAAACTCAATGCTGTAAGATGGTGCACCACATTTATCCTACATCTTTGTACAACCCCTGGCATACCTGGGCTTCCTGGTACTGGCCCCTGTTCTGAGAAATGAGGTCCTGTATCATCTAATTCTGTTTCCCACAGATACACGGGCAAGGGAGAGAGCTGTCTATCTTAGGGAACTCCCTAAGAATATACATTTTAAGAATATTTCAAGAAGAACCCATGTATGAATCTAGGTTTACTGAATGAAATAAGAAATTGGGACACATGATTCTTTTAAAGCTTAGAAGGAACCTGAAAGTTGCAGCTTCTAGACTTAGGTTTTCCAACTTCATAGTCCCTATTCAAGAATTTCCTGGAGAGCCTGTGAAAAGTGCAGATTCCTGAGGCCCCATCCCCAGACATTGTGATTCTTAAAGGTTTGAATCAGCTAGGAGTCTAAACCAGGGCCTGTTTGGTGGGGCAATAGTTACAGAGCCATTCCTAGATGCATCAGGGAAGGCTACAGAAGCAATAAAAGGTTTGTGATGCTTCTCACTGAGATTAAACCCAAAGAACGGGATTTCTTTGTATTATGTTGTTGATACTTTCATCATTTCTCTTAAGAAGTAACATTGAACCCCATCATACCAGATGAAATTGAATTTCTTTTGTAAAATCTGATGAATTGTTTCCAGGGATACTGGCTGGGTTTCTGCACAGACTATTGTTCCATACTGGGAGCAAACAAAACAAAGATGCCTGGGTTTCTAGTCCTGGCTCCTCTAGTGTGATAAGTGATAAAGGGCATGCCACTTAAGCCCTTAATGTTTCAACATCCTCTGTGCAATGGAGAACTTTATAAATCCCAGGATGATACTCTGAAGTGGACTGAAAGGCTAAAGAGTCCTCAAGAGCCTCAGACGAACAGTGCCCCAGAACTGCAGAGCTGAGTTATTCAACAAAATTGACAGGTAACTGATGGTGTATTTTCTATAGTTAGGGGGAAAAAAATTCCCCCATAACCATGATGATATATTAGATCATAAAGAATCATAAATATTTAAGACAGAATGAAATTCATTTATCTTTCTGAATTGTTACCCAGTAGCAAAGACGACTAAATTGACACAGCAATAGTTACACTTGCAGGTGGGGAAAGAGTGCCCTAAAGAGAAAATAGAAAAATGCCCCAAACTATACAATTAGAATGAGCTTCCATGATAAACACTGACAGACTGAAATGAAATCATGTCACCCATTACGGATAAATAATTTATCAGCACTTATTGAGGCCCCAGGACAATGGAAACTTGGTCTTTATTATCAAGCATTAAAACAGCAGCCATGGCTTCCAGGGCAACACGTTTCTCACTAGATGGCATTTTACTTCACTGCCTGGATGGGGTCAGTGACACACATTTGATGGAGACATATTGTAGCGCATGGCTTGGAGAGCAAGTCTCTTCAAAATGTGGACCAAATATCCCATTCTAGAGACAGGTGTGTGCCTTCCTGTGGTTTCTCTCACCCTTTGCTGTGCGCCTTTGGGCAGCAGTTCTCAGAGTATTATGAGCAGGGAGGAGGTGCAGTGTTGGAGAAGCAGTGGTGTGATGTCACAGACTGGTCTGTGCATAGTCCAGAATGTGACGACGTTTATACTTTGTCCTGGCACAAAGAGATCATTTTATCTTCCACCTGTTTGCTTTATCAACAGATTGTTCTTCCTTGTGTTTTTTTCCTCCTTACTTTATTTCATTGGTATTGCACTGTGACTCTTTTTCCTCCACTGAGTCCATCTGAAAACATTTAGATTAAATACCAGTAAGGATATGAAGGGCATTTTGGTAAGGCAGGCAGATCTTTCTACAGTTTTTATCTTTCTCTGATTGGAAAGTTAATGCATATGCCATATGGAATACATGGGCCATACAAAAAGATTAGGCAGAAGGAAGATTACTCATATAATTCTATCATAAAGACAAAGCACGTTTGGCATATTTTCTTGTAGTTGAAATATTTAGGTGGAAACACAATTGGACACTTCAATTGTTTCCAATTATAAAAACTTTCTTTCCTGTGGATAGATTTCTAAAAGCAGAATTAGTCAAAAGATAAGTATATTGTTTAGGATATTTGGCAATGCTGCCAAATTGCTTTCTAAAAATGTTGTATCAATTTATCCTCCTACCAACAACATATGGACAGTGTCTGGCTCCATTCTTTTCTTTTGTTTTTAAAGACACAGGGTCTTGGTGTTGCCCAGGCTCCACAGTGAAGTGGCATGATCATAGCTCACTGCAGTCTTGAAACTCCTAAGATCAAGCCATCCTCTGGCCTCAGCCTCCCGAGTAGCTGGGAATGCAGGTGTGTGCTACCATGCCTGGCTAATTTAATAACTTTTTGTAGAGATAGGATCTTTCTGTGTTGCCCAGGCTGATCTCAAACTCCTAGCCTGAAATGATCCTCCTGCTTGGCCTCCCAAAGTGCTGGCAATACAGGCATGAGCCACCATGCCCCACCTCAGATGCTTTTAATTTACGTGAGGTTGAACATTTTTCATCTGTTTATTCGTTTTTAATCTAGAGATGTATAAACAAATCATTAATATATTTTTATCTTTGAGTATTAGTGCTTTTCTGACTTTTTAAAGAGTTTTCATA